ATATTTATGTGTATTTTGGGAATTTGTAGTTACCTTGCACTAGCAGCTGGATTTTCGAGATGTCATGAAATCATGCAAGAATTGCGGGATCACATATCATCTTGTCAGGCTTCAGGTAATGCGTTTTATGTCCAGCAAGCCAATGCATGGACCAATCAGTGTCCTGTGAGGAGCTACTGGCAGCTACGTGGCTACGTGTGCGAGATGATAATGAGAGATGACTGTTCGTTCCAAATTACAATGGAGGCTTCTAAAGAAGGTTAACATATATGCTGCTATAGCATCAGTTAAATCAGAACTGGAGAGTATTTCTTCATAGAAAGAAAAGCAAAGAACGGCCCTGAAGGCTTTTCTCTATGGAAAAGATGGTTTCATTCTACTCCTCACTGGTTTCTGTAGAATTAGATTGACAGATGGTTCATTCAATCACCTAGCATGTTTTTTTTTTTTTTAATGGCCTGTCCTTTTCCAAACAATTTCCAATGACGGCTTCTCTGACGGTTCTGTGTGAAAAACCATCTTGTTAAATATGTAGCACCTTGATGTACCATGGAAAAGATGCCTAGCCTTAGTGCCCCAAGCAAAATGATGCTTAAAAAAAATGCAATTTAATTTTCTACAAAGCCCAAAATTCCACAACCTAGACAATGTCAGTCATCTTTATTGTCTGAAGCTAAATCTGTCATAACGTTCATTATCTTGTTTAATGTCTCTATGTCACGTCTGTGTCTGCACATATGCTCTCTACATGTGGATGTTGAATCCAGTCAGTGTTGCATTACTTATGAAGTGTTGCAGACATAACCTCCGTGAGGGGGAACTTTACATTTTACCCTTTTGAGGGTATTGCATATTTTACAGGACATGTATTGTGCGTTTCTGCGTGAGGAGCAGTTCGAGATAGAGATTTTAATTAGGGCACATGATGACCAAGCTTCTTGTTTGGCTGGTTGACCTTTAAGCTGTAATGTTGTGATTGAATTATATATTTATGTCAAGTCCAGTTCCAGCATTCACCTGTTTACCACAGATTTGTCTTGATCTCTCTCTCTCGTTAATTCGCCAATCATTTACTTATTCATGTGTGCACACAAACACACTATATCCCATTTATCTGCTGATTGTTTTAGTATGTTCATAATCCTGGGTACATAGGTGAATGTGAATTAGTCTCCTTAGGGGTTTAAAATTGAATTCTCGATGATGCCTACAGCGCAAAACTCTAGCTGACAGAATATCCTGTTTTTTCCCCATGGAAGGTCATCGTTGCTGCAGGACTTGGAATAAGCATGGCAGTGATGTGGAGTGGAATGGATGATGGCAATATTTAAATGCTAATGAAAATGAGGTTGGATTTGAAGAAATGTATTAGGCTATGCAGCAGGGTTGTGATCTGAAACCATAATATGCTTTCTCATGTTCCTGTGGCTGCCTGGTTCCCACTTCACGAGGGAGCAGGAAACAAGATCAAGGTAGTTGCAACTTTACAAAGATAGACAGAATTTATATCAGAAGTAATTGAAGTGCCACACGTGTATACGGAAGAGGACCGTCTGTCGTCTGCAGCTTTACACCGCAGTATTAAGACAGAAAGATACAGTTCATTTCCAGTTTCAGTTTTATCATCATAAGACTCAACAGAAAGCCCAAACATTGCCACCACTCAAGATAATCCTTTAATTTTGATGAATACACCACTCTGAAAGAGGCTATTAAAGCAGCACATTATCACCACCTTTCACTGTCGCGGAGGAAATAGATTGCCTTATGAACTTTTAAATGCTAATGTTGTTGTTCAGAAGACTGTTGTAGTGAGATCTCAACAGAGACTATTTCAATCTATAAATTCACTCTTGCCCATTTTTCTTAATGCCCCCACGCTGACGACAGCCGTGGTAGCAGGCATTATGTTTTAGGGTTGTAAACTGCAACTTGTTTGGCGGAGGCATACAATGGCGAGGATGTAATTCTGGCCTGATCTGCTACTGCCTAGTTTTCTTTTTTTTGTTTTAATGTGGACCATTTAATACTGTTATTTTACTTATTTGTTGAGTACATTTTACTGGATTTGAGTATTGGGGATATTACAAATGCTCCAAGATTCCAAAATCCAGCCCTTGTAAGACCTTTTACTGCATGTCGTTCCCTTATATGTTTTGTCACTCTCCTCTGTCAACAATCTAATTAAAATAATCCAGTGTGTTAAGTCTGTCACTCTAGGCTATGTTTTAGTCACGGTTCTGTCGTGATTAAAGCTCTGATGGCAGGATAAAGGCATGTCTCTATTAGTGAGCAATGAATGGTCTGACAAAGCAAACATTACTGGAAGAAATAGGGCAGCCACTTTTGATTGCAGACATGACTCCCTGTATTGATTTATTGTAAGTTCAGAGTCCATGTAAGTGTGTCCCTGTGGCTCTATTTGATGGTTTTTGTCTCATGACTCCTCCTATTTGTGAAGGCTGAGGTTTTTACAATTGCCAAATCTCTCAGATCACTTAGCAGGATCCAGCTGTGAATGTAAAATCCATCTTATAGTCAGGGTGAAGTGTATAAGCCAGTCAGCAGGGAACTGCAACACAGCTGAAAATAAGTCAAGTTCTTTGACTTAGTGGAGCGGTTTGTATTGATGGAGACACAAAGAGGAGCGGCTGACATTTTGTTATTATGTGACAGAGGGATTTCTTTCTTTCTTTTCTAATGTGAATGGGAAATGTCGCTTCTTTGCAGCATAATGAACAGTGTATGACCAATTCACCATCCACCTAAAAAAAAAAACTAAATTGGATTTCTCAGTACCTGTGAAAATTGTGCTCAGCTCACCATGAGCTTTAAATTATCACCTGGCCATATATCCGCCACACAGCTGTGTCGAGTTAGGACAGCAGATGGACTCCGGTAACATGGCAACCCTTACAGGACCTGGATGGGACCCAGTCGTGGATTGAACCTTTTAATCTGCCCTTCAACCAACTGATGGGCGACAAATGAAAGGAAACATGCTACAGGACTAACTGGATGGTTTGATGAATATGAAAGTTATGTGAATCATGAGCTATGACCTTCACAGTCACCAGATCTCAACCCATATGAACACCTATGGGAGAATTTGGAGCGAAATGTCAGACAGCCTTTCCCATCAAAATGCCAAATGACGGAATTTATTTTGGAAGAATGTTTTCCATCCCTTGAATCTATGAGAAGGAGCACTGATGCTGCTCTGTAGGCTTGTGGCTGCTTATTCATTGATATTCTGTCCTACAACATAAACCGGCCAAGGCAACTGTCACATACAAAAGAGTAGAGTATACCCACTTAAGATGCCTATCACAGTTTTGAGTTTATAAAACAAAGAAATAGTCAAAACAAGCGCAACACTTGATTAAGCAAATGTCTAGCTCTTTGATTTAATTTCTGAGGTGTTAGAAGTTATCATTCAATTCATAAAACCTCAGCTACAAGTATAAACATTTAGAAAAATATGACTGTTGTGTATTACTCAGGGCTCTGAGCTTTTAGTGTTGAGATTGTGACATATTTATTGTATTTATTGTTGATGTATGATGTCACATAGTCCTGCATCTGTATTTTTTCATCATGACCATAATGGAAATAAGTCGGAAACATACTTTACTTTATTGTAATAGTTTGTGATTTAATACCTTCCATCTTCCACTGTTTGGTTTTTCCTTCATTTGGTCACCCAGCTGTACATGTTCAGTACACAAATGTACGGGACATTTTGGCTATTAAAAAGTCAGAAAGTGGTATTTTTGGGACTGGCGTATTATAATATTGTTAGGCTATAAGGGTTCATCCATCCTCAGTGACATCTATCAAATGACATTTATGGATTCATTATAGAAGTAGTGGTGATGTATGAAAAGGAAAAGGCCTCTAACTCTCTCTCAAGATAATGTTGGTGCCTTTGAACAAACTCAAACCTAATATAAAAACGCACAAATCGCTGTCATGCAGTTTAGATTGTCTGTAAATGAGGACATGAGACGCATCACTTAACCTTCATTGGTCCGTCTTCTGCTGGAGAAAGCTTCAGCACCATGAACAGCGCCAAAAAATATCAGCGCCACAGATAGGCACGTGTTCGGATAACTTCCACCACTTTAACATGATTTCTGTGAGAATTAAAGGTTACATTTGTTAACTCCGTGTCTCAGATTGGCCGCATGAACCTTGAGAACCTCTCTTATGCTCATTAGATTTGCCCGCAGTGCAGTTATCGCACCAGGGTAAAACATTCGTGAATCATTTGAGTTATACTTTTCACTGATGCCTCAACTCCCAGTGACAAAGAGCAGTCTAGTTGTCCACCCCCAAGGCGCAAATGCATTAACCCATTTCAATCAGTGGTAGGGAGATAGATGGTTAAATACGTTGCTGTAACCACTTTTAATTATAACAGCGCATGCAGCGCGGGAGACACAGTTTCAACCTCAGGGCCAGGACCGCAATTGAGCCGCTGTGGTCCCACTGGCGAGGAAAACAGAGGCGGCACAGGCTATTACATAATTAGTACAGGGGATGTAAATGATAGTGGTGGGGTATTCTAATGAGGCAGGGGGCAAAAGACACAGACAGTCTGATCAGGAGATAAAAGGAGGGGATAAACCGTGGCAAAAAGAGAGGTTTGGGTGGAGGAAGATGCCTTGAATCTTGACGCCTGCTCCACGAAGAAGATGAACATTTAGGATGGGTAGTGGGACGGAAAGAGGAGGGGGGATTACATACACTGCATCATTTAAGTAAAGCCTACTGCAGCTGATGTCATTTCCTAAGCACCATAATTGGTCATCAATGACTAGCTGCGAAGAATGGCTACATGAAAACACACACTTCCCCAGGGGAGATCTTGTCGCTTCAATGATCCATACCTTCATTGCTTGGACCGTACATCCCCCCCCCCCCCCCTCTCTCTCTCTCTCTCTCTCTCTCTCTCTCTCTCTCTCTCTCTCTCTCTCTCTCTCTGACTCCCTCTCCACACACACCTGCAAGCAGCTCCCATTGAGCGCCACGGCGTCGCATATTCCCCGCTCACCTACACACAGTCGCACCTCTGCTGCCGTGGCCCTCATGTGGCCCCTCCCTTACCGGACTGGACTGATAAATGGTTTAAATCTGTCACCAGGAGTTGCCGAGATAAATGCACCGGGAGCGTCGGAAAATCCCTGCCCATCCCTCCGCTGTTTTACCGATCTGCGCTCAAATCTATCAACAGCCATCATCCAGCGTTGATTCGATAGAGTAGATTACATTTAAATCGTGATTCATCTTTTTGTAAGAGGTGACTGGCAACAGCAGCAGCACGCAGCTCCGGTTGTTAGACCCAGACCCGTGGGCGGCTGGGTGGCGTCCGTCTGGGCGAGCTGATAGGACGAAGATTTGGCACTACCTACCAACTGCTTCATCCCAAATTCTCAAGATATGGCAATAAGAAGTGAGATGTAGAAAACTGATGGGAGTGGGTCTGGGCTTCAGCTAAAACGGACAAAATCTCCCAGCAGCACCACCATCATCCTCCTCCTCCTCCTCGTCTAACCAGTGGATGTTTGTTTTTGAATAACTATCTAAAAAGTGTGGAGCACATGAGACACTGGTGAGTCCCCGAGGCAGGTCCCACACACAGACTGAATGAGTCCATCTTTGGCTGTCGGACGGACTCCTCAAGAGCACAGGACGGATGCAAACAGACTAAACACATCTTTGAAATTCAAAACACCTTCAACATCTCCGCCGACGGTGTTCTAACCGAGCGGGGTGAACCTGACACCAGGGAACCAGTCGTTTCACAGGCAGGTAGGCTACACTCCGACGACTTATTAGTGTGCCACCTCTGGGTTGGTGCCTTAAAGGTGATCAAGTTGATTACCACGACCGGCCGCCCATGCGGCGGTTCCGCTGGCGGTCGCGGAGCCGCGCAGGCGACTGCACCTGTTGTATTCTGTGTAAATGTGCGGGGCGTGCTTGTGAGCGTGCGTGTGTAAATATACCTATATGTGTTGACAGCCTCGATGAGCTGTGCTGTTTTAATGGCTGACAACGTGATGGTGTCTGTGTATATTTGCATTCAGTATGCACTCGGCTATATTTCAACTGCTTCTAAAAATAAATCTCTTTCCAGCTGTTTCCGTGCGCCGCGCGCGTCAGTGCGCGCTGCGTGGGTTTGATCGGTGTGATGAGGTGATTATAGGTCCACCACACGCGTTATAAGTGTAATTACAGTATAATTGTCTCAGCACGCATATTGGCAGCTAACATATTGTTTGTGATGAACGGCGACTGGCTGCAGTCTAAACCCAGTTGTATTCATTCTAATTGCCAGATGCCCTAAAACTCCACAGCCATAATGCGCGATCGCCAAATCTGTCACCTGCCTCACATTCATCATCTGATGCCCTGGGGGACCCGCCTGTTGATGGGAACGGATGGAATGTGTTGTGTACGTTGTTCGAATACGTGTGTGGTATTGGGCAGTGTGGGTGCGAGCATTTTGGAGGGTCGCGCGCATGAGTGTTTTTTTAATATTTTCATTCTTAGACACCCCATTCTCGGTGCAATGAGGGCGACATGTAGCGCCGACTTTGAGCATCAGGCGGTGTGAATTCAGCTGCTCCCTCCGCTGCAGATGCGTGCAGTGTGGCAGCTCATGGGTGTCCAACTCTTTTCCCGTCGGTTAGGACTCTTTTAACATCCATCAAGCGTCGTTTCAGATCACCTGACGGAAGATCAAGGGCGCACACGTCCACATCTCCTCTGCCCGGCTGGTGGTCAAGCACCAGAGCTTTCCAATTGGCGCGGCAGCAGGTGGTGGGGTCAGATAGAGCGTGTTGGATGACCCAGGTTGACCTCCGGGAGAAACGGCTGTAGGCGACAAGATGGGCAACCCATCCAGCGCCTCTGTTGAGGAAATGTTTCTAGAGTACTGCCTTGACGGGTAAGAGAGAGACGGCAGTGATCACCGCTGTAGAGGCTGCCTGTCTTTGCCCAAGGTGACTCCAGGAGGACACTGAATGTGACATTGACAGGAGACAGAAAAGATAGCAAGTTATTTGCTTTACATTAATTGTTTTTATTATTGATTTAGCTGCAACTCTAATAAGAAGCCATTTCATTGTTACCTTTTGAGGTAACAGATGTCTGTCTGTGTAAAATGAGTCTGCTGTCCCTTTTTGTTTGGCTTTGTGGTCTATTTGACAAATCACAGAGTTGTAGTTTATACATTTATCCGGTGCTTTAATCAATGTGGTCTGTCATTATATTTAGCAGGCGGCAGGGGCCTTATCTCCCAAACTGGAGAAGACTAGGGAGCTAACTGACGTTTTAGTGGCTTGAAGTAAAAAGAGAACAATTTGTTGATTTATCTTGAAGTCCGTCTGGCCAGCCAACACATCCCACATCAGACAGTCCTTGGATGACGTTAAATCACACAGTTTTGCTTTGACGGTTAATCTGTGACTGCGACAGTAGTAACAACCTGTTTCCTTTCATCTGACGAATAAGGCTTGATTCTGTTAATACTGTTGTCTTGTCTGGGCTACCTGCCTGTGATGGCAGCGCTGTGCATGTGCTGTTGGGGAAAAACACCGTTGTGACCTCTCAGCTCTTTTCTGCTTTTCTGCTAATGCAATCCTCTCCATGGGGACAGAGGGAGGTGAGGAAAAAACATGATTCTCCTCTCTTCATATTCCCAGTTTTTTTGGCTCAATCTCAGTTGCTCCTTTTCCCTTCATCTCAGCCTCTCCCCTACAGTCTGCGCTTCAATTCGTTCTGATCCCCATGCAGACTTGAAACTCGACCCCCTGGGGTGCAGGTGACCCCACAGTTCAAACACTGTCAGCCAGCCCACTTTCATTTGCTTCTTTCATCCCCTTTGCACTCCCTCCTCCCTCTCTCTTTCTCACCTGTCTGTCTGTCTGTCTGTCTGCCTGCCACTCCTCTTCCTGCTCTCAGCCAGGCAATGAGGCTTATCAGATGGAGGTTTTGTGCTAAAGCTTGTCCTTGTCAGCTCTCATGCCTGTCTCTGTGACAACAGTCTGTGTTTTCACGTGTAGAAAAAAACTCTATCCAAAAATATATGGGAGAAAAATAAGGAGTGAGAGAAAGAGAGTTAGAAAAAAGAATCAGTGTGTGACTGAATACGATGTATGTGTCTGCGTCTCCGCTGTTTTTTCTTTTGCCATGAGTGAGTGGGTGTTTATATCAGTGGAACAATTGTGAGAGTATGGACTGATTGAATAATTGCTGGATTCTGTTTCATTTGAGGAGCTCAAGAATTTAGGGATTTCAGGCGGCTGTGGCTTTTTCAACAGCAATTAAATGTTAATTTTTCATTGTGACTCGTTTCTAATCTTGCGACTAATTCATTAATTTCCTTACATTTATCCTCTTTCAACTGCACCACAGATCACTGATACATATCGTACAAACGTCATACATCATAATATAAACCAATATAAACCAAGCAGTCTCTTCACACCACGGCCACCTAAAGGGGAGGAAATAACAATGGTACATCTCATATAGTTCGTACCCGACATCCACTTGGTGAACTTGTCTTACAGCCATGCTTGCACTAATGCATCCATAACAATTTAACATACATGTATCATTAATTTGTAATTTCTGCAGAAATACACTCAAAATAATTTGCCCATACATATACATTTACAATACACATGTATACATCTGCTGTATACATGCCAACACATTAACCAAAAGAGCAACATAAACATACCCCCGACATGTTTACTTTAGTATCTGCATCTGTACTGCCGGCCTTATCATTCACAGCTTAAAATAAACAACAACACATTATTGTCAAGGGAAATATGACCAATTTGTCTCTCGCTTAGTATTATTTGCAGCCATATTTCATATGAACCTGTTGCTTCCTGTCAAATGTTTCTGTCCATCACTTTAGAATGAACATGTGTGATTTCTTGTTGAGTCAACCTTTCTGTTGTGTCATGTGCGGTTGTTAGAAACAGAAGAAACAAGGCTCTTGTGTTTTTTCCGATTTGTGTTGCAAAACAAGCCGAGGAGAGGAGAGAGAGGAGAGGAGAGCGGAGAGGAGAGCAGAGGAGAGGAGAGCGGAGAGGAGAGGAGAGCAGAGAAGAGGAGAGGAGAGGAGAGCAGAGAAGAGGAGAGGAGAGGAGAGCAGAGAAGAGGAGAGGAGAGGAGAGCAGAGAAGAGAAGAGAAGAGGAGAGAAGAGAAGAGAAGAGAAGAGAAGAGGAGAGGAGAGGAGAGGAGAGCAGAGAAGAGGAGAGGAGAGCAGAGAAGAGAAGAGGAGAGGAGAGGAGAGGAGAGGAGAGCGGAGAGGAGAGGAGAGGAGAGCAGAGAAGAGAAGAGACGAGAAGAGGAGAGGAGAGGAGAGGAGAGGAGAGAAGAGAAGAGAAGAGAAGAGGAGAGGAGAGGAGAAGAGAGGAGAGGACCGTGTTTCCAGAGAGCGAGACAGTCCCACTTCTATCTCTATCTGTCCTGTCTGGCACTGACACACTCACAAAATGCTCTCGGGATCTCTATCTTGTCCTCCCTCTGTAACTTTCTTTCGATTGCTCACCACAACAGTTCAGCATGTACTATTGGCAGGAATAGGACATGAAGCATATCGCCAGTGTCAAATCTTACACAGGGAAAGCCCTCAGAGGGGCAACTGTCATGAATCAAAGCAGCGCTTCACTCTGATCATATGACGGCAGCGGTTGTGGCTGATTGATGCCCTGTCAAGCCCCGAGGTCTCTTGGTGAGGTGTTAGGTGTCAGTGTGGGGTTAAAGGAAACGTTAGGGAATAACAGGACTTTAGGACGTTTTGTGAACAAAGAACAAGCAAAACAAAGACAGCGAGAGAATGATTGCTATTCAGAGTTCCTGAATGTATTCTGATGGTATTTTATCAGAACAATGAACAACACTGGATTTTTTTTTTGTGAATCCATTGAATTATAATGTGATTACATAATTTGTCACTGTGATTCTGTTACGAGGAGACAGCGGTTTCTCCCAGGAATGAGAATTAGCAGAGTGGAAGGAACACTGTTCCTCACAGGAGATTGTGTTTCTAAAAAGGGCTCATGACTGTGCTGGTAGTCAGGTTTTGAATACACATGCACACACTGAGACTCAAATCCCTTTTACCTGTAGTTTTCTCGCTCACGCACACACACACACACACACACACACACACGCAGAGTTTATTTAGATTGTGTGTGTGTGTTTACTTTGCAGGGAGAAGATGCCATTCCACCATGTGCGGGCGGGCCTGCTCTATCCAGACAACTACCTGAGCAGCTCCCTGACGGAGGGCAGCGAAGCCTTCCAGCTCAACAGCATCTCCACAGAGGAGCTGGGAGGTGAGTGTGCTTACAGAGAGAGAGCGGGTGGGAGGTGGTGAGGCTGCCGAGGAGTGTGTGAGGTATACTAGCAATTAATGTTTCACTACTGGAACAATGCAGTTACAATGCCTCAATTCTCCATTTAGCCATTTTGTCAGAGCTTGACTGGATGCATTGGTTTCTAATTATGGTGCTTTTGAATGAAAATCAGACTCAGAATGACAGAAATAAGATATATATGACCATGCCTGAAGTGGTGTATTGATATTGTATTTTACATTCCATTTTTCAATCCATTTTGTGTGAAAATTGCATAGTGCTCAAAAAGATCTGTTTGGTAAATAGATTGTATGAAAATACAACTGCACTTTGGCCATTTGAGGTACAGCACAGCCATGTGTTTTGTCTGTAAACAACCAAAATCATAGGTGAAATCCCCAGTATTGAATGCAGCCTTACTCAAGTATGTTATTCTACAGTCAATACAATAGCCCTTAGGTTGGGTTCAATAAGTCCAAAGTTTATCAAAATGTCTCAATATGATTGCATCAAAAAGGAATCGTGTGTTTCTGAAACAACACCCTTCTGATTGAAGGAAAACTATGGTTTATTACAACATGGGTTCATTTTCGTAGGTCTGGACATTGATTGTATCAGCTATGATAACATTGTACTCCCCAAAGTAATTCCTGAGATCTTGAATGTGGCATCGAGGCTACAAGCATGATCGATACGACAACAGGCAAGTTGTAAACAAGGTTAGTCCAATTCATCATGAGGAGAAGACAAAGGCGGATAGTGAAATAACAACTCAAACTGTACAGACAGACTTCATCTTTGACCGACAGTACTTATAATAATAATAATAAAACAGAGTTCACAAAGTGCTTTGACAGTCAAAGCAGCAAAAACAAGGCAATACTTGGCGTAGTTGTGTGCACCACAGCCTATGCTGTGCACTCACAGTTCTCCTGTGCATTAGCATTCAATTATTAGCAGCATCATTACAGATGTACTCACTTTCAGTGTTACCTCCAAACATAGTGGTATCAAATCTGTGTTACCCAAGTAGTAACCAACTGCAGGTTTAGGCTGAATTCTGAAGCACACTGCATGTCATTACATTTAGGTCCTGATTATAGGCTATGACATAACCTCACATGTTCCATTTGCACAAAACAAAGACTTCTACACTGCAATGAGTGAATATGTTTCTTTCATGGGTTGCTTTGGAGGGAAATAAATAGCTAACCCTGACACTGAGCGCGGGCAAAGAGCATGAGTTTGTTTCTGACTGAGGCTGTTTGTTTGTGTTTATTGATGTGGCCTATTGTAGTTTCTCGAATGAGCTTTGGTATGAAGTACTTTGTTGCATAAATCTTTTAATCCAATGTCCCTTGTGCACAACTCGACTCAACCCAGTTCACTAAAACAGTTGCTTTGGTGTGCTGAAAGCAGAGCTGGTACAGTGACTGAAATGTCTCACCATCATCAGTTTGGTTTGTCAAGGGCAGCGAGAAGGTTAAGATAGTTTGGACCTGTGCAGAGCTATTAGGTAAATTAAATTTGGACTTTTAGACTCCAGACATCATGATGAGGCCTCCAGACATTATCTAAGCCCTGTCAACCACAGATCCAAAGCAACCAATTGGACTGTTTGATGTGGACAAAATATCCGTGGCGTTTGCTTCCAGCTTTTCAAAACTCCTAATCCCACTTCAGAGAGATGCTGGAGGTTCTTCTAGGATCGTCTGTTAGCGCAGATAGAAGGCTAGTTAATCACCCCTGTGTTGGATCGGCGCTATCCTTTTCTCTGGTTTTGAGGCGTTTCATCAATCACAGTGAGAAAATGTACAGTTCTGGGGGGTTGAATTCGTGATACACCGCCGCACACAGGCAGGTACAAACACACAAAGGTATTGCACAGTAATATGTCCACGACCAGCTCATTCGTACCTGATTGAAAATGTACTCTTCACTGTTCAGCTTCATATAAATACATCTCACTTTGTTTTGGGAGGCTGCACGCTCGCCCGCATTCCCAATCCCTGGCCTCTGATTCTCACTTTATAGAGGCAGTGGCTTGGCGCCCGAGTCTAGTTATCAGCCGTTGGGGATGTTTACAGGCTTATATGGGGGCTGCGACTGAACTTCGGCTCTCACGCAGCTGACAGAGTAAAGACAGCCATTGAAGGCAGATCTAAAACTAACTTATTACACAGAGGAAGGAAGGAGCGGCATGTCAGGACGAGAATATTATTGACACACGGCCTGAGGGAGACAAATTTGATATAAAATGCATTGTTTAAGTTAGGAATAAAGATTAGTCTTGGGAATATTCTGATTGAAATTCCTTCATGCGGCATGCTATTACTCTTCTCAGCTGTGTTTCTCTGCAATGATTTGCACAAATGGTGAATGCAAGCTGAAATGACAGCTTCTCCCGCCCCTGAAGTGTAGAGATCCACAGGAAAATGCTCGCCCGTGCAAAGATGCTGAATAAAGACTTGCAAAGTCTGTCCTGTCTCTGCTGTCTTTATAAAGTCGATAGATTTGACCACCTCCAGCCCAGCCCAAAGCTCCACCTCTGCTCAGAAAGTGCCAACTGATGGGCAGGTAATTAGCCAGAGATTGACCAGGGTATTTTCTAAGAAGGTCCTCAGAGGTTTGAGTAATTCTGCTGCACGAACAGATAGATGCCTCATGAGCTGTGTGTGTTTACTGACAATTTCAAGTTAGAAGGAAGCCTTTTATGTGGGTGGAGAGAATCGGAAATGCTCTTGGCAGTGCTGGTGGAGATTGTGCTCTGTCGAGGGATTGATACAGACCCCTCGGGGTTTGTAAAATACAATAAGTATATAAAGATATAAGAAAGATAAGGAAAGAGAGAGATAGAGGGGGGGGGGGGGCACTGCAGGGAGGGAGAGTGGGAGATCGCCATCACCTTGACTAGCCTGAGAGAAAGGATGCAGCACTTCCAGTTAATAAGCCTGTAATCAGCACTAGGGAAGCACATTTCAGCACCGTGTACAGACCTGCTAAAATCTGTTAATCACTCATTTCATTTACATCACCTGATGACTCACTGTTACGATGTGTAAGAATTTAAGCAATTACAACTTGTTAAGATCCAAAAAAAATCCTCAATCCTAAACAGCAAGTAAATCGGTCATTGAAACACATCAGCATTTTCTCCAGAGAGGAAAATAAATGATATGTCAGGCAGGCAGACTGACAGACAACACAGTGATATGTTGTTCGTTTGTCGTGCAGAGATCCGTGAGGCGTTTCGTGTTTTGGATCGTGATGGGAATGGTTTCATCTCCAAACAAGAGCTGGGCATGGCCATGCGCTCCCTGGGTTACATGCCCAGCGAAGTGGAGCTGGCCATCATCATGCAGAGACTGGACATGGATGGTGAGGCACTAAATAAGGACACACACACACGGGCGCATACACAGAGCACACAAACACACAGAGTGAACCTTTTCACAAAAGTCTGTTCAATATATACTGCATGTGTATAATGTTTGTTTTAGTTGCTGTGTCTATATTACAATATGATAAATACAAGTAAAAATATTTTCCTTCCATTGAAAGCAAGCCGTATGAATATTTGCTGTGTTGAATTTTAATGTGCTGTAAAATGATCATTGTTAAAAGATGCCAAAAACACACAAGTTAATGCCTCTACTAATTGCTTGAGGCAAAATTAGATATTCTGTGTTACTGTCATATTCAAAATGTCCCGGCAAAACAGTTTCTAAACTGCCTTAATAGCAGCAGGTGGACAATTGTCAAAAAAAAATCCCCCTGGAGACAATAAAGAGATAACCTGTCTGCTGCTGCTCCTTAAACTCCAGCTGCTTGTAAATCCACAGAGGATTGCAATTACACCAAAGTAGTCCCCGAATCACAAACAAGCTAGACAATCTTTCATCTGGTTCATATTTGCCTGCTCTTGATTCACAGCTTGCGGTAAATATCAAAGGTCAAAGCTAAAAGCTTTTTGCTTTTGCCTCCATGAGTCTGACCATCTGAAAGCAGCGCTGCCATTTGTTCTGAGAGGAGACAGATTATCTCTTTTAAAATCCTCTACCTCTGACTTCTATCATCTCCATGACGGCACTAACAAAGCACTGAAAACAGTCGCAGCGCAATTAGTTCAAGAATGTCAATTATTATCAGGTCATAGACAACCTGCACAGTCCTTCAGATGATTAATTTTACGTCATTAAATCCCTGCTTCTGAAATCTTAATCCACTGATCTCTTGCATTATATTCTTAACCCTCCCTAAGGTTTAAGGCAAAGTAGTCTTAAAACACAAGATTATATTATGCTAATTTAAAGCCGCATTTTTTTAGAAACTGCAGTCAGGTTTCAGAACAGAGAACTGATGCTGTTTGTAATAATAATAATATTGTATTACAAGGTAACGCTTCATTTTACAGGTCTGCAATTTCCTCATTTGTTGATCATTTACAAGACATTTCCTACAAAGAACTGTGTAACTTGGCACTAATTGTGGGGAAAAAAATGAATTTCCTGGAAAGAACAACTAAAATTAAACATCACCTAAATATTATGGAAAACTTAATTCTCCTTACATGTTGAATTGCATGCTTGCCTGTGGTTAGTACCTAGGTTAGTACAGCAGTTAATTATAATTGATTAGAAGTGTACTGATTGAATATTGTCTCTATTTCCCCTGTAATTAGCACCAAATTACATGGTTCATTCAAGAGAAGTTCTTGGAAATTATTCAGAAATTACAGACCCATAAAATAAAGTGTTATCTAACTTCCAATACTAGCACAGCAGCACTGAGACTTGTACAGACTGCATGTAATGCTTCTGATAAGCTACTTATTGCCAACAATAAATAGAGCATCAGATAACTGTAAAAGGGTGGTAACATCAATTTCGGCGATACATAGTATAAGTTGTTTATGCAGTAACTCTGTTGTGTCTGTTCACTGAGTATTAATTCCACGGGACGCTGGCTGTTGATTGTTATCTCAAACAACGTGCAGCAGTAGAATACTAAATGCCAACAATGCCAATGCCAAGTTGTGTCCTTTGAATTTAAAATTGCAAAATGTCACTTCAACACAAAATTAATCTATAAACGCTGTCTACAATCGCTCGCATGCAAACACAGACAGGCACGACTTTGCATAGGTGCACACACCTTATTTGAAAGGTGAATTAGTGCTGATGATGCATGGGTGTTTGTCATGGATGAGGGAACTTCATCTGTTGATCTATCTCAGGGTGGCTTTTCTTTGTTTCTGCAAGCGAATAAACTTCAGCATGAAATGCATTATTTAGCTCTTTTCTGCCAGCATTCCTGTCTGTGTTTCTGATTTTCTACTGTCCCGGTATGTCTTTCTGCCTGTCTCTGTGTGTGTGTGTGTGTGTGTGTGTGTGTGTGTGTGTGTGTGTGT